CCATGTGGTAATGTGGGTTTCGAAAACTCGGGTGGCCACATAGAAGTGCCACTTGTGCTTTGATAATGATTCACCCACACTTGACTGAGGTGTCCATCGAACATTCCATTGAAAGCTCTTATGAGATATAATCAAGACGCTCTTTGTCTATATTTCTCCAAGAAAGTTTTACACTGAAAGTGTAGTACCTTTACATTTATTGTGACATAAATTGCATTTTCCTAAATTCCACATTCATTAACTAAACTACAAACTTCAAAATGAATAATGTTTTCTTCTTATCATACAGGTTTTACCGAATGACTTCTTCCTGACTGGATGTTATGATGAATTTATGGAGAATGCTCGTCTGCTTATGTTTGAGTCATTCTGTCGGATACATCATAGTGTTGGAATAAGGTATTGGAAATTGCGAATTGTTTAGTACTGTTTTTAATAGTTTTCTGTATTTAGCAGAATTGACAGAAAGCGATTATTATTTATTATTCAATGAGGTCCAAGCTAGTTGAATTGGTTTTCTTTACTATCTATGCTTTACTTTCATTGAGTGATACAAGTTCATTTTCACGGTGTCATTACATAAATGGCATTTTTACGCGAAAACGTAAAAAACACTGTCGTTCAAATATCTAGTCAGATCGTCCACGAATAATTAATATAAAGTTTGACCAATCATCGCTTTTGAAATATCCAAATCTTTTCACTGGGAAATTTTATTATTTTCATTATCACTTTCTGGTTATTGTATCAGCTCGTATTGGTTTTGCCAGCTGCCTTTGTGTCTTTCAATATGGTCATATTTGTTAATTATGCCAACTGACTGAAGGAACCATTGTTTGAAAAAGTGTACCCATCATCCCAAGGCGTGAATTTCTCTACTTCCTCATTTTTGGTCAGAATATCACTCAAAAGTTTTTTGAAGATCCGGTGCATTGGTGTGTGTTTCTGAAAGCTGACGTATGGACCGTAGGTCTATTTTTCCCACCTTAAACTTTATAACATAACTTTATAGCATTAACTGTCACGCAGTTGTTTCTGATAGCTCAACGTATAACAGAATGCACCATATTGCTGAGTTTCACAGACATTTAGAAACTGCGGTTTTTACCATCATTTCTATTGATTTTTTATTTATCCTTTTTTGTCTTCAGCATACTTGCCGAAAAGCTGAATATGACTGTAAAAGATGCCGAAAAGTGGGTTGTAAATCTTATACGTAATGCTCACATGGATGCCAAGATAGACTCTCAGCAGGTAAGGTGATTATCAGTTTCTTGTATTGCTTCGATGAGTCTCATGGTTCATATTTACTAAGTGTACTCTTTTGTACATGTTTCAAAGTTCAAGGTGCTATAAAGTAATAAATGGTTTAGAAATTTACTTTAAATGTACATCTGACATTTTCTTAATGGTACTAGGTGACTTCGTCTTAACATTGACTTATCAACATTAGATGTTCGAGTACTGTGTTGCAAGCTGATGTTGGCCAAAATTAGGGAGAACTACTATTCACATTCATCCTGTATTTCTGGTAAATTTCCATTTCCATTTGAGTTTACCTCGTTTTACCGGAATGTTTTCCTTCACATTTTCTGCTTTCTGCCCGATAAGTGCGTCATCGTATTGAAGGCTTTGTATTCGAACATCCGTTGGCGTACCAGAGCCTCTAGTGATGTATTAGGGAAGTTGTGGCTGTCAAGGATAATATCCATTCTATTCATTCCTATTTGATTTTGTCACAGACATATTTATGCACGCCTCTTTCTCCGTGTCTGACTCTATGTGAACTGACTTCGTCGCAGTTGATAATTTCAAAAATGTTTATGGTGTTCCTGACCTCCTAAATGTGACTTCACTCTACAAAACTAGTCTACGTTGGCGTTTTGTCTAACAATAGAGTTTAAATCTTGACCGTGTTGACCACTTCAATTACTTGGGAAGTCATGTTTATCATGATGGGTTAGTGACCAACGAAATTTGTACACGGATACAGAATGCTTGCTTGGTATTCGCCACCTTATATCATCTATATCGCCGCTATGATATCTGATTGGCTACTAAAGACCAAGTGTACCGTGTAGCCTTTCGCTCTGTTCTACTATAGGGGAGTGAAACATTGCCATTATAATGTCAAGTGTTTGATCATCATTGCTTTCTTAAACTAGATCATGCTTCATGGTAACATCACATCAGTGATGCAGAAGTCAGGGGTAGAAGCGGAAAGTGGCTGAGGCTTGTGTTACGCATGCCTTGTCACTATCTGTCCCGTCTCACACTCTTAGTTGAATTAGGATCATTCTAGAAAAAGGTTGGAGGCGGTCAGACTAAAATATATAATCAGTTCATGAAGTCATTGACTGTTGAATTTAGCAGTGCACGCTAATGTAGATTTTTCAATCGGAGTCTAAGTGACAAGCAGAATCGGTGGTTGTAGACTCCAGATGATATGCGGATAGACTGACGGACAGACAAAATAAACTTATAACTTCCTAGAGAATTGCCTCAGTTCAAGTTACCACCAAAAATAGCGATGACGACGTAGAGAAAAGTTAATGAGAGGAGGGGGAATTTTAGAAAAACGAAGGGTAGTGATAAAATTCAAGCTTTAGAAGATGTCTAAGAGTGAACGCATTTGGGCCATTGTGGCCGGTTTTCAGCAATGTGATCAAGATTCCTCAGCCACTGATTCCCCTCGTATCCAGGACCCCTTCAGGCAGTCAGTACTTCCCTACACGGCTCAAACCAACAGTAAGAGGCCTCACACACTGCGGTCACGTCTTAGTCTGGTCGCATTCTGCCAACTCAGTCCAACTTTTTCCAGCTTTACACGTTGAAGTAGACAGTGGTTTGACATATGAAACACATGTCCAAGCCACCTCAGTCAGTGGACGATTACATCATCGACTGATTTGCTTTTATTGTCTGGTACTCTTCACCTAACCTCGATATTGTTCACATCGTGATTCCTCCATACGTGAGCAATACTATGAGGACACCTAGTGTTCGGCTATGTCTCACAACCACATAACAAGACGAAACAGACTATAAAGCAGTGTGGCCGTCTAATAGGAAATAGGATAACTCGTCGGCACCTGGGACGACAACAGTTGGTAAGTATCAAATGAACCTTCCATATCCGTGCTGGGGGTTTGTCAGGAACTAGCCCATTTTGGCTGATTCAACTTTCCAAGTGAGTGAAGTGGTCAACACATCCCACCACTTCATTTTCTAAGTGGTAAGGTTAAGAATTGATCTCACTGTCACAGATATATCTTCATCTTGATCATGATGCCAGCATTTTTTTTAATTGTTTCATTCGTTTTCGTTCTATTCTCCACACTTTCTACCATTTTTGACTCCTTTCACCATTTCTCATGTTGCAGCTTTCAACCTTGATATGTTTATTTAGGTTGCAACAGTTCAGATTGTTTTGCACTAGTGCCAGGTCGCATATTGATGTTGGACTGACTGATTGTCGATAAGCAGTTGCTGGAACACAAGGAGTTTCTACAGAATTCATCTGCTGTCGCTCATTAACCATAGTGTCGATTCATGGAATTCACTGGAATTAAGCATGATATCCTATTGATTTAAACTATCAAAATCATCTACTAGGATGCCTTAAAACTCATAACTTTTTTCTCCAAAGCTTTCTATGTCAATAAATTACTCCTAGGTAATGTAGGTCAGTAGTCTGTAGATCCTGGTACTCAGGTTTTGTATCGTAGGGGTCATCTTATTTTGCGAAGCTGGTCTATGTCTTTTTCTCTCCAACAGTATATGTAGCTTGACATCCAGCATTTATCGGCATTTGCTTATGTAACTGCTTCTGATTGATAACATTACGGTTCTGGATATAATCATGATTCTTTTAAGGGCTGCTTTTTGATAAATACCAACTATCGCGATATTCAGGTTCCAGACTTCTTTTTGATACCCGGATACCATTGAATGTTAAGAGATATTAGGTTGAGAGGTTTGGCGGAAGGTGATTTTTTTCTAAGCACTCATCACCACCTGCCAACAATCAGAAAATCAGAGCGTTGGAGAGCCATTTCCTCGTAGTTACACAATCGACAAAAGTTCCGAAGCGTAAATCACCTAATAGTAACTGAGTGGTTGAATACTGAGGTTACATCTTGCCGCAATTGACTATCTCACTCTCATTCCGTAGTTGGGTTGTGAGTGCGGACTACACTGAGGAGTTCTAGAACAGGAAGATGCAGCTGTCCAACTCTTTCTGATTTCCAGTAGTTTTCTAGCTGTTACCTATCCATAATAAATACTTCAAAACCTGTCAGAAAATATTCTAATATTCCTTATTAAATTAGTTTAATTCGTTGTGGATCCCGGTGTTTTCTCAAAAAAACTGCTCACCTTTTGATTAGTGAAATTTATTCAGATAGCTATTATTTCTCGATGCTTTTCTAATATAGGGTGTTATTGTGATGGGAACACAGAATGTTTCACCTTATCAACAGGTTATTGAACGCACAAAAGCTAGTGGAAATTGTACCTACAAGTTATATGAGCGATTACGTTCAGAGAAGTCAATGGACGCAGAATTGGTAAGTGTTGGATTTGTACTGAGTCAGTTTGACTCCTGGCTTCTTTTTTCTTCTTACCAACTTTACCGAATCAATTTATTTATCATACAAATTTTAATACAGTATTCATTTCATTTCTATTAAATGTCAATGGAATTATTAAAAGTTATACAAATTTCTGTTATACGTATATTCCTTATGTGTCCGTTTTATTTCGCTTGTATATCACTTTACCCTTTCCTTATATCCATCTGCCTATTCATTATCAGTCAGCCTCGTATTTTGTTAGGTGTAGTCAATTAATAATCAGTCAATCAATCTATTTTGTATACTCAACCTGGTTAGTATTGTCCTTTATGGACACAGAAGACAGGTATACACAGGTGGTTATATGGCATTTGGATGTAACATCATTTTTCAGAATAAATAATCAACCGATGTCAGGCGAAAATTGTTATTTATTCCCAATAGAAAACTTAATCGATAAATTCAGGAAATAGAGCAATCGTTTGATGATATTTGTCCTTATTATTGTCCATAAATGAGGTAAATATTTTATGGATCGCGTTGAGGAGTGTGTTGAAGTTCGTAACTTTCAAGTATTATGTTCTGTGATTTTTTCTTCTGAAGTTGAAAGCTTCCTGTTGCTTCCGTTCAGAACTAGCATCTTTTTATGTGTTGATTCCATAGACCTCCTCTAAAGATTGTGCTTCGTTAAGCATTTTACTGCCAGTTCAGGTGTGTTTTATTTATTTCTACTGATGAGGACTATTTTTGACGTTTTTATTCGAATTCACTAGTCCCGCTTAGATTCGTCCGAGGTGATATATTACCAATTTCCGTCTGTTACTTTTCGTTCGTTGTATGAATGCTTCTTACTACTTAAATTGTGGCTCCATTAACTTAGGGAGATCGGTGGGTCAAGGGTTCGAGACCCGCTCTCCTACCGAGTTTTGGGAAACCAAGTAGTATCATTGGCTCTCATTCAGTTGGTGTGACTCATACCTACTGCAGGAATGTGCAGCTGATCAATTCAGTTATCAGAATTAAACGTCTTTTCACCCAATTAGGTTTAGAAAATGGAGTGATATCGCTGTCAGACTAAATGGATGGAAATGAGCATAGTTCACAGGTTGCATTTATTTGTATATTTTATTTCTGATCACATGCAAAAAATTGTAAGACTCAGGCTTTTTCAAAAGTGGCTTCGTCACAGTTATTTTCATGCAGACTTGGTTGTTCTCTCGACATAGCCTTCTAGAAAGCATTACTTTGGTACTTTTTTTTCAATTTCATTTGTGACGATTTTCATTTTTCTTCCTTCAACATGTATACGTTCACTTTCTTTCCTACAGTGGTCGTCTTCAAATCTGCATGTCTACTAACTTTATTTTCAAGGTAGTGGCATACTATGACAACTCTTGGATACATTTCTCAGTCAACTCGTGTGTATATGAAGTTTTATCCTTGAGAGAGAGTGGTTAATTTATCCTTGCTTATCACAGTACAATGTTGTCTTGAGAAATAATTGTTCTGTTTGTCTTCATTTTTTTTTAACCGCGAGTGGTCACGTATGCAAGAATGTTTTATCGCTTGTAGGACAATCACTACCCTGATGTGTGGTCAGGCTAAGGTATTAAAATGACGAGACAAGCTATGCTAGCTAGCTAGTAACACAGTACCTACTACATAAGAAGAATGTTTTTGATAATGTTAAACATAAAAGTAGCTAGTCATAGCAAAAATAGTTCACATGATAGTGTGAGTCAGGAGCGAAGTTGTACTGGATAGGTGTAGAATCAGTAAAGTATTTCCGATGAATGACAAGCACTCTATGCTGATATTGCCTTCCTAGTGAGAAGATGTAAAAAAAAGATCAACCATAATAATAGCACCCTGCCCTTCCGTCTTCCTAATTTAATGGTATTGGTTTTAGTAGTCAGAATGTAGCACAGTAAATTATAAATATGGATTGAGAGTACTTAAGGATTATGAGCATTGGTGAACAGGCTGTAGAGATGGAAAAGGCAGTGACGCTAGGTAACAGTAGGCAGTTGTTTACACTTTCCAGAAAACTGTTGGAAAGATGTCAGTAGTTGTTGGAAATACAACAGAGAGTGTGTGCGATTCACTTTCGGGAAGACACCTGGAACGATGGGCACAAGACTTCATGATACAGTTCAGGTGCCCTGAAGGCAGTCTTCGATTTACCACTATGTGATGGGATCTTGAATGAAAGACAGAGAGATCGAGAGAGTATCCGATTTTTGTCAAAGTTGAGAAGGTAATATATGATGTGAGAGGAGGAAGAGTAGACGAGCCAATACTGGAGGTAGTTAGGGATTATTTGTTAGATTGGTTGAAGTGTCAGATTTCGCGAACGATAGCTGCTACCTTGACCTCGTTGTTAGGCTTGTGCATCACAGTGAGCTCCATTGAATAGGACGCTTGTCCTCTCGAGGTTCTACTATGCCAGGAAGGTCTGTTAGGTGGTGTTACGACGAAAAACCGTTGCCGTTATGGTGTGTATTTTTACGCTGTGAAGGATTGCGTGGGCGAGGTGGTGCTGCAGGTTGGCTGGAGTGACCGCAAGGAGGTGATTCTCATGAATAACCAGGAGTTCCATGGTGATACTGTACTCTCGTTGGGAAACGGGGTGGTTCAAGAAGGTTGACTCCGAAACAGTACACTCCTCTATGTCCCATGGTCTTTCGGTACCGGCGGTATGGATTTTCTGTACCCGACGTTGGAACAACCAAACCCCAAAACAGCAACTCACAAAAGGCTGTGTGATAAACCTGGAACTGATGGCCTCTGCCGTCACACAAGTCTTTTCCTGTTTCTCTTTCAGGTACCTTAAAAATATCCTTCTACGGTGTGGGTAGCCAGAAAGTGTATGCAAGGTTTGATCAAATATAACCCATCCTCCTTACCTCTGTGTTTTCCTTTACCTTCACTTTCTGATACAAATATGAAACCTGTTATAACTTCCTCAAGGTCTCACTCTACGAGAATTCCCAGGAGTCAGCCATTGAAATTTGATTCCTAGTCTCCTATGACCTCGCTGTCGGTTTTATGTTGGGGCTTTCAACGTGAGAACTGTATACCAAATCAGACAGCAGTTATCACACACTAGAACTCTGAAATCTCGAGGCATTGTTGTATGTTGTGTTTTTGAGACACACGTGAAAGACGCGAATGTGGTTATTCATTTAACGTCACTTGGCGATAGTAGTGAATCTTCAAAATTCACCTTACGAGTATCCGGAGGTGCAATGACTAGTTGTCATGGTCTCGCTGGTGTAGGTATAGTTTGAGTTGTAGAGAAGGAGGCGCGCTGCTTGACTGGCTACCAGTTATATTGGCCTCTGTGTGCTGTTCTACTCAGTGGATGTGTCAGGCCTGGGAAGGATCGTGTGACTAGGCGATGCCTATTCGTAATTTCCGCCTACGCACTCACCGACTTCAATTGGGGTGATGCGAAGGATGAATTCTATCTACAGAAAACACAACTTTCAGGTGTAATAGTCTTAATACGGGTGACTTTGACGCTGAAGTGGAGAAACTTAGCTGGGACAATAGGAAAGTCATCTCGCGGGTGTATACGGAATCCTATACGAAGGAACCGGCAAAGGTGAACGTCGATTATAATTTTGTTCTGACAATCACTTGTTTTTGACCAGGATTAATTTAAGCGTAAGGAGAGAGATGCTATCTGAGATTGTGCCTGGTGACGTCAAGCCAACGATGGATCCGATAGACCATGTTGCTTCAAGCCATCGTTGAAGAGGATTGCCGTTGTTCCTACAGTACCTGTTTGAACTTAGATTGGGTGTTATTATGGGCATGTGTGTTTGTGCCTAATCGGTCGCCGGAAGCCGAGGTCACTTAAGCCTGTGTGTGGTTGGAAAGTGCGAAAGTGACGTATGTATTTAAGGGAGAGATTGCTAAGCATTTGTTTGAACGTGGTAGCAATGCTCATCGTGAGGAAACTTGGTGTGTTATTAGGTGTACTGTCGAAACAGCGATAAAGACATTGAAAGTTTAGCAAACGTCATTTGATTTCTGCAACATCATGTGAACTGATTGGTGTGAGAAGACTGATTCTAGCTGGCTCTGATAAGAATGAGGAGCTAAAGCAACTGCAACGTAAATTGTCCAAGAGTCTCGACAACAGTCGCGAGCAGTGGTGAAGGCGTTGAGTAATATTTGGCCAGTATTTATCGTCATTGAGGATACGGTTAAGAGAATGCTGATGGTTAATAAAACCATCTCCGAAAAGCTTGGTACACAGGTAACTTATCAGAATCGGTAGCTAGAATGTTGGACACATTTCAAAGGGTGCAGAGCGATGCTTCAGTTGCTGAGCATTCAACCAGCTGGAATCTGAATGGGGAATAAATGTCGGTACTCCTCCTGGAAGTTGCGAAGACTTTCAAGCGTGGAACGCTACCAAGCGTCTGAATCAGAGAGTTTTCCACCATGAGATTTTAAAGACGGAGTGAATTACTGATTAAAGTGATGGAACTTCTGGGCAGTGTGAGGGAATCAGAGGCAGTGCTGTGAGACTGGCTTACTTCACCGTTCAGCCCAGTCTATAAGAAGGGGAGAAATCTTGTGACAACGATAGGGGGATCAGTTTGACTAATATCGTGGCCAAGATCTGTGATGCGTAGTTACCTGACGCCTAAGTGGAGCTGGAGAACAGCAAACTTAAGGTGAGTTTCAGACCTGAACGAAAGTACATTGATCAGATTTTCACTCTCCAACAGATTCTGCAACAAAAGCATACCTACCGGCTAATAGCCAACAGTTACCACACTTCTCGACCTGAAAGCAGCATTCGACTCTGTCGACCTTAAGATGTTATGGCAGTGTCTGACTTTGAAGGGGGTACCAAACAAACATGTAATACTGATCAAAGCTCTCTACTGGAATTCGCACAGGGGTGTTGAGGCATATAGAGAGAGTTGTCATCAGAACTGGCAATAACTTGTGGTGTCCGCTAGGGTTGTCCAGTATCACCATTCCTTTTGAACTCCGTTGTAAATTTACTAATGGACTTAATTTATGTAAATCTAACTTCACAGGGATTAATCTACTCCCTGCAGGTCATCTAGTTAGCTTGGAGCCTGCAGACGATAGTGTCCTTCTGGATGAAGCCGCTGACACAATGCAGGGTCTTATTGACGCGCTGAGCAGAAATCTGAGTATGTTTGGCATGCACCCAGTTTGTGCTTTTCAAATGGGAGATGATGGTCCAGGACTGATCTGTTGCAAGTATTCTCAGTTTAATGATAGGGAGTAAAGTAGTGGAATGTTTTCACCACTTCACTTACTTGATGATTTGCATCAGGTCAAATGGGCTGGCTACTGATGATACCTCAGTGTGAGGACATGGAAGGCCCATTTGGCATTCGTAAACTTGTGTTGTCTTTAGTGTCCAGTGGTGAGATATTCGACTGAATTTTGAGTGACGAGTAAACTAAGCAACAGTCCGTTCTATCCTGTTATACGGCTACGAGATATGGCCATGAAAAGTAGGAGACATGATGCGATTACAGGGTTTTTATCACAGATGCCTTCGTAGCATTAATCATGTGTGTTGGAATCAGCGTGTGAGCAATGTCGGGGTCATACTAAGAGTACTAGGCAAGGAAAACAAGTCAGTCTATGAGGTTCTCAACCCTCATTGACTGACGTGGCTTAGATGTCTGCTTTCTATGCCAGGTCACCGCTTAATTCGAAATGGAGTGCTGGGAGAAGTTGGATTATGTTGTAACAGGTTTCAGCGTTGCCAGACTAATATGTGGCACCAGTACATGATGCTCTTGATTGTTGGTCTGAGCTCGTTAGAGAGGTGTAGGCTACCTCGCTAGGGTCCTCAGAATAATGGGAATCAGTGGCTGAAAATGGTGACAATGGCACAGATATGCAAACCCTTAGATATCTTCTAGTGCTTGAATGTTATGATTAACGTTAATTTCTACGTTTCATCTCCTGTCATACACACGCATCTACTTTGATATCAGTCTTTCCTGTCTGCTTGTTTTTTCTATGGTAATATCAAGTGTGGTAACTTGGATCGATGCACTTGTGTGCGAGGTTCTACGTTAGTTTTTTCCGTCTGTCTGAATTGTCAAGTGGAATTTTAGAAAGAATATACGATTACCTCTCTGATCCCAGTCACTGATTAGCTCAGTCTTCAAAGAAAGAGTAGAACTGGTATGATAATCATTGGAGAGTCTTAGATTCTAGGTTCTGTATTGGTGAGTTACCTGACTGCGTTCTCTTATCTCCATCCTTCACCTCACTATCTTTCTACTTGATGCACTGTACTGAGCTGTGGCAACTCGGACCTTTACGCAGTAATGCCTGGTCCTATGTTGATATTGATGATGTTGATGAGGCAC